GGGGGGGGGGGAAGCAGGATGAGGCCCAAGGATGTGCCAAGTCCCTTTGGAAGGCTGCTCCCTGCTGCCAACATCCTGCTCCACATGCCCACTTCCTGAACTCCTCCAGGGAAATCCGTGGAGCATGTCAATCTTTGGAGAATGTTGGATCCCATGTCAGCACTGCTCAAAGCTGTTGTTGAGTGACCTGCCATTTCTAGAATGTCTAACTAACAAGGTCATTAGTGTGTAGAGTAGGCCTGCTGTGACCCGGCCACTGCTTTGCCTGGCAGCCCCTCCCAAAAAAAACACCTTACCTGGAGTGCCTATGTGCGAATCTTGGGCTTCCGCCCAGCTGGCTAACTCCTGTTCAAGACCCAGGTGAGCTGCCTCCTCCTTGTGGAGGCTTCTCCAGGCAGTTTTGAGCTTTGAGGGACCGGTCTAAGATCGAGCTCAGTTCGGCAATGCTAGGTACCGAAGAGAGGAGCCCCCACCCCTACCCTGGTCCCTTGGCTGCCTCTCCACTCTCCAGTCTCCACCGTCTTAACAGAAGCTGGAGGGCCGGGTGGCCTCTGACGAGGACCTGAAGTTGTCGGATATGCTGAGGTATTACATGAGAGACTCGCAAGCTGCCAAGGTGAGTGCACCAGAGGGGGCCTCGGGGTTGGGGGCCAGCAGCCATTGGCGATGCGGGCTAGTGCGCTGTGACCCTGGCCCGTGCCCACTCCAGGACCTGCTGTACCGCCGGCTGAGGGCACTGGCTGACTACGAGAACGCCAACAAGGCGCTGGACAAAGCCCGCACCAGGAACCGGGAGGTGCAGCCCGCCGAGAGCCACCAGCAGCTGTGCTGCCAGCGCTTCGAGCGGCTCTCGGACTCAGCCAAGCAGGGTGGGTCCCCCACCCGGAGTCCCCTGCCCCTGGGTGCCCAACCGCAGGTCCCCATTGCATGTCCCCTTCTCTCCAGAGCTCATGGACTTCAAGTCCCGCCGGGTCTCCTCATTCCGCAAGAACCTCATTGAGTTGGCAGAACTGGAGCTCAAACATGCCAAGGTGAGCCCCCAACCCTAGCAGTCCACTGCCCAGCTGCCTGTCTGCCCTCAGCCCAGGGTGGGAGGGGCAGGGATGGAGGCTCCAGCTGGGGCTTAGGGGCCAGCCCCACCCTCCAACATTGCAGCTAATCCCTGGAATAGGCATGTGGGCTGAGTTGGGGGTGGTCTATGCTCCCCCCTTAAAGGAGCAGGGTAAGAATGGGGGAAGAGCATCCAGGGTCTCTCTCCCACAGGCCAGCACCCTGCTGCTCCAGAACACCCTAGTGGCCCTAAAGGGGGAGCCATAGCACATCGAGCACATCCCAGCCCTGCCCAGGACCACCCCCTGCCCTGCCCCCAGCAAAACGTCCCCTTCCTTACCCAGCCAGACTTGCCTTGCCCCATCTGCCTGGGCCAGAAGCCCAACCTACCACAGACCCCTGGTGAGCACAGGTCCAGGTGTAGGGGCAGCTCCAGTAGCCCAGGGCTTCCCACCCCAGGGGCTGACTCCAACCGCCAGCCCCCACTCCTTCATGAATAAAGAGCCAGGTTTTGTAGCTAGAGGCCTGTAGTGTGCTTATTTCCTACTGCCTTCTCTAAGCAGGCTCGGTGGGAACCAGATCTTGGGGGCCAAAGGGAGTCTCCTGTAACATCCTCGGCTTCTCAACAGGCAGGGCTGATTCTGGGGCTTGGAACCCCAGGAACATATAGCAAGGTGTGCACACGGGCCCACAACCCTACGAATCCTCCACTCACAAGAAAGGCCACTCCTTGTGGTTTCCCTGCCAGTGTGGCCACTCAGGCGTCTCACCCTCAGTTAGCTCTGCCACCACCCTGGCTGATCCTACCCCAGGGCCACACTTCTTAGAGAGCCTTGCTTACTGGGCAGGTGAAAGTCTGATGCTGGCAGAGGCTCAGGGCCCTGCCAACACCTTCTTGGTTAAACATAGGCCCTACCTGGCTGGCCCCACCCTGCCTGGGTTCCAGTTGCATCTTTGAGGTCAAAGGCTCAACTAGGTCTGACTCACTGGGCTGGGCTTTTGGCTGTCACACTGAATCAGACCCCTTCTCCCACCACCCCCAAGAGGACAGAGGATGGAAGGCCACAGTGAACCCTCCACCCTCAGGCAGCCTGTGAGATACAAGGACCCACAGCAAATGGGGTCAGCACACACCCAGGGGATGGGGAGACAAGGAAGGGCCACTTAAGGAGACTCATTTGAGGGCCCCGTGTAGACAGCAGTGGCCACACCCTGGCCATGCCACTCCTCAAAGGCCAGTCTGGCGCCAAGGTGGCACCACCCAGCCCCTACCATACTCAAGAGCCCGCCCCTGCCCCCAGCCTCAAAACAAATACCCCACAGGGGAGCCTTTTTATTGTCTTCTTTTTTTTTTAATTGAAGGTTCCTTGTAGGCCCAAACAAGTGGCTGTCCATGACCAGGGGGGGAGGGGGGAGCAGCCGGAGCGGGGAGGGTCATCTTAATTCTCCACTTACACACAGTACTAAATGAACAAGCACAGACTCACTATTGCAGTTAGAAGTTGGCAGCCTGGAAAAAGGGGGGTGGGGAATGGTCGTTAAAAAAAATACAGCCCCCTTCCCCAACTATGGTTCCTGGGGGTGGGGGGAGGGACTTGGTCTGTTTCAACAGAGGAATCAAAGATCAGAAGCCATTTGGGAAGGCCAGAGCCGTCAGGAGGGAGGTGGGTTGGTCCAGGGGGTGGGGGGGCTGTTTGGCAACTGGGGCGAAGGGATTGCCCTCCCCCTGCTGGGGTCCCCCCAGCCTCTCCGGTCTGGCAGGAAGGGGGCAGCCTGCAGCCCCCCCAGGCAGGTCTGGGGCTACCGAATACTCCTGGCAGGGGTGGAGGGGGCTCACAAGGGCTTGCCCTCCAGGGAGATGACGGCGGCGCTGCCCCCCAGCTTCTCAGCCAGGGTGCAGCGGTCCTTAACCTCCTCGTAGCAGTTTGCTTGTAATTCGTGTTTGATTCCTGGAAGGAAGAGGGGGATGAGTGTGAGCTGGAGGCATGGGGCAGGTTCCGCAACCAGTCAGGGTCCTCTCACGGGATGGGCACTCTCCCCCACCCCAAGCAGCAGGCCTATGCCCACACTAAGGCTGGCCCTTACCCGTCAGCTTCTTCTTGATGGCATCCTTGGAGCTGGCATAGATCATTTTGCTCTTAAGGGGTGCACACTCGGGGGCCCTGGAGGGAAAGAAAAAAAGAGCAGGAAATTACAGGCATCCCGGAGCAGTGGACAGCTTCCAGGTATCCTTGGGGTGGCCGGTCTCTAACATGCATGCTGTGGCATCTCCTCAATGACAATAAGCCGGGGACAAGGGACTGCCCCCACACACAGACCAGTGGCTTGTGGCTCTCATTTTGAGAAAAGGGGCCAAGGGAGGGCAGGAGGCAGGAAAAAGTGCCCGGGCCAGGCCTCACCAGAAGATGAACACCAGGTCCTCCTTCTTGCTCTCCTTGGTCTCGTAGGTGGCGTCGTACAGAGCGTAGCGGCAGTCCTTGTCAGGCAGCATCTTGACAAAGGTGGCGTAGGGGTCGTCCACAGTCTGGCCCACATCCCCAACCAGGATCTCCTTGCCCTCCTCCAGGATGATGTTCTTCTTGTCCTCACTCAGGCAGAAGAGCACCGCCTTCTTGCGCTTCTTGACCTCCTCCGGTGTCGAGGATTTGCGCACCTTCATGTCATTGAACACCTTGATGACACCATCGGAGACAGCCACACCAGAGGCCTGCGAGACAGATGGGTGCCATGTGTCCCCCCTTGAAGAACCCCTTCCAGGGGCTCTCCAGAAGTCTTTCCCGTGCTTTCGCAAGAGACCCCAGTCTGATGCCAACAAGTGGAGACCACACCCTCTCCTCCCAACAGGTCATCGAACCTCTTCCCCCAAGCACCTAGAAAAACCCTCTGGCCATCTGGGTTCAACACCCTGTCACCTCAGGAGACACTGAGCCCCAGCTGAGAAGGAACCCAGAATTAAAACAACCCAAAAACTACTGCTCATTTCCAACTCAAAGTCCTCAATCTCAGCCTCTGGACAAATGTGAGGATGCAGAGGGGAGGACACTTCAACATCCCAGGACATCAGACAGGCCCTCCCAGTACCAGAACAGCTCCCTATCTATATGTCCTCAAAAGCCCATCAGAAATGCTCCAAACGCTACACAGACAGCCCTCTTCCAAACTAGGGCTGGCCTTCCCCAAAGCAAGAACCACAATTAGTGCCAGCCTGACAACAACTGTCCTCCGAGCAATAGTGTCCAGGGCCCTTTCTACCCTGTGTTCGCTGGGGACCCGTCAGGCCAGGAAAGGGAGCTGCCCACAGTGCACCCCGCACCCCCCATCCATCCCCGGAACTGCAGAGGAAGCCGGCCACGTGATTCACTGGCTTCCGGAACGGGCGGGGTACCATCTGCCCGGCCACCTCACCTAGAGAGAAATCCACACCCGAGCAGCGCCGGGGCTCCAAGTCGGGATGAGGGCTGGTGCGCTGGGGACCAGACCCAGCGAGCGTCCAAACACGGGCCGGGGTGGTTTCCAGGCGGTGCCTGCCTGGGTCACTTCCCTAAACTCGGCTCCACCCTCAGGCCCATCCGGGAAGGCCGATGGCCCCGCTTGTCCAGAGCTTCGCGGGGGGCCCCCCCCACGCCCATTGCACGTGTGCGCACGCGTGGGGTTGGGGTGAAGAGGCGGGGGACAGTGCCGTTCCGCCTGGACCCAGGATCGCGGACTCTGCTTTGTAGGCGCGCTCGGCCTCGAGCTGGGCCGTAGCCGCAGCAATGCAAGTCCCACTCCTGGACGCCCACGTCCCCAGCTGGCCCCCGGCATCCCGCGGGCGCAAGCAACCCTGCCACCTGCTCGCCAGCGAGGCCCGTCTGCCGCCGAAGCAGGATGATGCGGAGACAAGCACGGCCTTCGGGCGGGG